CAATCCTCTGACTTGTTTAAAAAGTTGATTTTGAAACTTGATGTAGTTATGAAAAAGTGTGCATTTTAGGTAGGTTTTCCATTTGTCAAGAGTCATGATATTGAGTATATTAGGGAAAAGTTTTGGTAGATCAAGTAGACTGGTATAGATTTCTTCTAGAGGAAGTGAGGTATATAAGTTTTCAAAATCATAGCAGTTAATGTTTTGGATGTTAATGGTATGAATGGTATTAATGACAGGAGTGTTATTATGAATGATCCAGCAATAGTTATGATTAGTGTGTTACAATCATTGAAAATAAATTTACAGATTTTATTAAGTTGAATTGAAAAAATAATAGTCTATATTTTTCTTGTAATTATTAGTTCCATTAGCTATAAATCTAAATTTTAATGGTGTTTTATGGAATTTGGGAATCGCATAAAGATTAGTAAATCTGTTGTAGTTTGCATTGAAAGTATATTGAGTTTCTTATGAAAAGTTTTAATCCTGTTTATTATAGATGTTTCTGTAAGGTTGGCTAATTGATAAGTAGTTGCGTTGAGAAGTTCTTTATGAATAATCTCAGTGTAGAATTGTTTTCATATAATGCTAAAGTTATTAGTTGCTTTATCTATTTTTGTAATAGTAAAAAGCTGTTTTAATTTATTAATATCTGATGTAGCGATTGAGCAGGTCGGCAATGTTCCTACCTACTACTATATATATTATATATAATATATATTTGTTCTTAGAGCATAACCGCAAAAGAAAGAAATTACTTAATTAAAGTAAATTAGCAATAAGTAATTATTCCTTAATATGTCTAATTAATTATAATAATATAAGTTGTATTCAATATATGTTTTATCTCCGTTTTTTCGCTGAAAACTTTGGATTTTTGTTAAATTTGGTTTCTAATTGTTAAGAGGCTTTTTTTTTAAACTCGAAATATTTCATATTTTTATTATTTTTACACTATTCCCATTTTTATATTCTTAAATTTCAATTCCCTAAAGCTGATTTTTTAAAACTACTAAGTTTAAATATTTTAGAATATTTTATTTCAGCAATCGTTTTAGATAAATAAGAGAGCAAAATTTTAAAACTCGAGCTATTCTTCTGCGCTTATCTTGCATCTAGAAATCAAATTTTGAAATTTTATTCTTTTCCAATGATTTTATCATTTAAATAGGTTAACCACAGACTGCAGTTCACTAATAGTGATTATGCCATCAACATTTCCGCAATTATAAACTCATTTATCTTCCGAGTTATACCGGGTGAGGTTTAAACTAATTATCTTCTCAACTTCATTGATAATTCCTTCACTCTAGTATTTTCCCATTAAACCTCAAAGCGCTTGCTTTTATTCATATCACAGGATCACATTTTAAAGACTTATTCATACACTATTAGTAAACCGGGATATTGCATTAAAAGTTTTATCTGTTTATAACACCAATAACGTGTTACTGAAATATTATCAAAATGATATCAAAGCCGTTATTTCAAGAATAAAGTTAATTACATCTGGATAGCAAAGTTTATAAATTTTATAAAGGTCGATTTAAGTGTTTTATTTTATTTCCAGTTATAGCACCAAATACATTAAAAAATGTAAATTATTAAACTAAAGTATCATTTGAAATAATTTTGCATTTTAAATTAAACTCAAAAGACGATCAAAAATGTGCTGTGATTATTAATTCTCTAAATGTCTTTGAAAATGCACTTCCAACTATAAAAAACTTTTAACGTGAGGTAAAATCTTATGATAGCGAATTTAGCGCTACTATTGGAGTGAATGAGATTTTTAAAAAAAGCTAAAATTTTGATATCACGTTAAATAAAATTTTAACTATAACCGCAAAAAATGCCGGGTATCATATTCCAACGAAAATATCCATTTTTACCTCTCTCTAATGCATTTGAAGGACGGTTTTTCGTGACATGTGTAAATACGGACAGAATAAAGGAACTTTTTTTCAAAACGGATTGCAAAATGGATTTAAAATGGATTCAGAATAGATTATTTTTCGTAACGTCTGTATTTACGTACCTGTGTACATATCTCGCAATACTCAAAAATGAGTAGCCTCAGAACTTTGAAATTTTATATATGGAACTGCTATAACATGTAGTTGTGCACCTCCTTTTTTCGTTTAGCACCACTCGCATATAAAGATATATTTATGTCACTCTGCTACCCGACCCGGTGAGATCAGTTTTCGTATTTTTATACATTGGTAAACTGTGCATTTTTGTTTTAAAAGGGATTGAATTATGTTATTCTTAAGTTCCGGTTAAGTTTTTTTTATGCCTTTATGCGCCCATGGCGCCCCGAAACAAACGTACATGTTGTTCCAGAATAACGTCGGGATAGATTTGGCTTGTCATGGTTCCAATTTGAACATGCAGGTCAGTTCTGGAACCCAAATAATTCCACCCCAAACGAACACTCCTGCACCACCGTAATGGTGTCGTTCAATGATGTTTTCTTGGTGGTAACGAGTACCTGAAGCTCTCCATATGAAAGTCCGGCGAGAATCAGACTGCAAGCTAAACCTGGACTCGTCGGAAAACATCACACAAGCCCACTGTTCCGGTGTCCATAATGCTTGCTCTCTACTCCAGGCTAACCGCAGGCGACAGTGAGTTGCAGTAAGTGGAACGCATCAGACAGGTCTACGAGCATATAAACCAATCTGCCCTATACGTCCGCCTTGAAAGTCTGCCTTGAAATTGTCGTACCAGTGGCTGAAGAGAGCTGACGAGACAGGTCGGAGGCTGTGCTCCGCTTGTTTCTTTTGGCAGTAACTGCCAAATACCAGTCCTCATTTGGCGTTGTAACTCTGGGGTTTCGGTTCTTCATAAAATTAAGCTTGGTGCTGTAACGTCTACTCACGTTACCATCATCTTGGAATCGTTGCCTGGAGATGACACTCTGGGCAATTCCAAGTTCGTCTGATACTTCTAGTTGGGTACGCCCACATTCCAGACGGCCGATTATTCTACCACGTAAAAAATCATCCAAATGTGTCCTTTGTGCCCTAACTATTCGGTTATTCACTGAAATGTTTATAAAGCGCCTGCGAACAATTTTACTTCTTTGCCTGTATTCCTTATATATCACTCTCTTACACTCTCGTCATTGTGACGTACCATCGGTGTCATCTGGTTACTACCTGAAATTTGCATATGATTCTTGAAGATGTGTGTAGTGAATTTACAGGTGATATATTTATTTTAGAGTTCGATTTCCGCGTGACTCCGAATTATCCTTAACTTACGGACATGAGTGTAGTATTGAATTGATGGAATTGCAAATATATCTCTTAAGCAGTTCGAGGAAATAAGTTTAAATGAAGCCTAGTAATATAATGTGTATAATTTAACAGGCCGTATAAGGAAATCATGCGGTGTCCACGTTATATTTTTAAATATAACCCAGGACTTTATTGGGAATTTAAATATATCACTGCATTCCGTAAAATTTTGTAATGATAATTGTGATTCATTAGTGTATAGACTAGGGTTACTTTGAATCAATATTATAGATTTCCTTCACACTAAAATTTTATCACAAAATTTACTTTACTTGATTGATATAGCAACCACATATTGCATAGATATGCAATTTTTCCGTTTTTGAAGACCTTCGTTCTATTTTGCCAAATATTTTAATTTATGCTTTAGTAATCATTTTCGCTCACCTAAGAAACTCTCTTCCATTAACCAATATATCACTTCATAAAATTAAGCTTCGTAAAGATTTACAGTTTATACAGTCTTTGGGATTAAGCTATAAACAAACTTCTAGAACCTGACGGCATATCGAAGCACGGTTGAAGCCTTACTAGCTTTTATGTATAATTAAAAGTATACTGAAAGTTTCATAAATCATACAAGGAATTAAAATTGCTGCTTTACTAATACGTTTGTCTTATTTGCTCAGTTTTTCTAACAAGTTTGTCAAAAATAATTGCTCAGTTTTGAAAATCAAACTGAAGAGAACAGAAAGTTTCATTTTTTTATGTTATTTATTTGGAACCATTATGTCTAAAATTTTAAAACTCATTCCTTTGAGCCATGAAACTCATTCCTATTACTCAAACTGAGAAAATAATTTACTCATAAAATTGATTATTTTATGTAATAATTACATCGGAACATAAACTAGGTTATCTGTTACTCATTAAAGCATGAGTAACCTTGAAATGAACTTGAAAAGATGTATAGAATAACAAATGTTTGGCTTCAAAAATTAATGGAGAAAAATAATTCGTATTCTAGGATTTCTGCGTAATTTTTTAATTGATCTCCAGTTTTTCTGCCTGCATGCCATAATTTTGTTAATTTTCTAGACACGAGTTTTTAATTTATTCTTCAGTTCTGAGGAATAAAAATGTTTCAAAATAATCTTACTGTTTAACTAATTATTTATTATGGTGAAAAACTTTAGGGATATCTATCTCAAGTAAACTTCCTAATTACAGACTCAAAATCAATACTGTAAGGCAAAGAAAAGAGTTGGATTTAAAATTAGAAAACGTACAGGCAGATTCCAAAATGAGTTGATAATGAGACATCGTAATGCGCCAAATTTTGTATCTTTAGGGGCATGCATAATTTTTATTACAAAATAATTTTTAGCAGAAAATAATATCTACCTGATTTAGAAAAGATATGTTCTTCATTACATATATTTCAGCAGCATAAAGAGCAATGCATAATCCGATTAGGAAAATTTGTTTTAATCGCGCTTACTTATCGTTTCCTACGTTTGTTTAAGAATTATCTCTAACCAGATTGATGTGTCACAAATGAAAATCAAAATCAATCCAATTTTGAGAATTTGTTTTACTTTTTAAGTACTATTGCCTGGAATTTTCTTAATTTCTATTTTTTTTTTTTTTCTTATTTAATTTCTTATACAACGAGAAACTTGTATGATGGTGTTACCAAAGTGTTATGTTTTTTGTTACTTTTCTCATACATGGTTTTCATTTCCATTCCAGGTGATAGGCATTATGTCCGTGTTCTTCATCTGCGTCTCTATTCTCTCATTCTGCCTGAAGACGCATCCAAATATGCGTGTGCCAGTAATACGAAACGTTACCGTACGTACCTCTCCCCCTTCCTCTAATCCAAATGCAACGGTTACTCATGCATGGACTTTGGACAAGACGCACACTTACCCGCACGACGTCTTCTTCTACATCGAATGCGTCTGCAACGCCTGGTTCACCTTTGAGATAACGGTCCGCTTTATCGCGAGTCCCAGAAAAAGTGAGTTCGTTTGTGGTGCCGTCAACCTTATAGACTTCACGGCCACCTTGTCCTTCTACATTGATCTCGCTCTACAGAGGTTTGCTTCACACTTAGAAAACGCGGATATCCTAGAATTCTTCAGCATCATCCGCATCATGAGGCTTTTCAAGCTGACCAGGCATTCTGCCGGACTGAAAATTCTCATCCAAACCTTCAAGGCTAGTGCCGGGGAACTTATCCTCCTTGTATTCTTCCTGGTGCTAGGCATTGTTATCTTCGCGTCGCTCGTCTACTATGCTGAAAGGATACAGTATAACCCGACCAACGACTTCAATAGCATACCTTTAGGACTGTGGTGGGCTCTGGTGACGATGACCACAGTCGGCTATGGGGATATGGTCCCCAAGACTTATGCTGGCATGTTTGTGGGCGCCCTATGCGCACTGGCGGGTGTGCTCACCATATCACTGCCCGTGCCCGTCATCGTGTCCAACTTCGCAATGTTTTATTCACACACGCAAGCCAGGGCCAAACTGCCTAAGAAGAGACGGCGCGTTATGCCAGTCGAACAGATCAGGGGCCATGTGATGAGAAGTCACGTGCCTATGAGAACAGAAGCACCCCCTCCAGCACGACGGATCAACGCACTAAAACAGAACATACCAAAGGATTTTTTAGGAGGAACGAGAACTGGTAAGTTAAATTTATTCTTTTTTTTTTTTTTTTATACAGCGTCATGCGTTTCCGGCATTTTATAATTACAGGTGACTAAGTTGTTACTTATTTTCCATGGTAATAAATTAATGTTTCAAGAACTATATAGTTCAGACATCTTACATTAAACTAGCCAGTAACAACAGTGAATATCTAAGAAAACGTACTTCTCCTGTGGTAAATAACTGCATGGCAACAAATTTCTTTATTACTATTTCATTGAAAAGCTAATTTAGTTAACAGCTTACTTAAGTATTAATTCCGATAATATTTTATGTTTAACGTTTATTTCGTGTATACACAGATATTAATAGCTATAACTTTTAAATAAATGCATGCAAAATGTTACCTTCATCTAGGTATAAGAAGGTATTTTTATTATTGTTATCCAGATTTCTGAAATTATTATCTACTATAAAATTTTAAGCTAATTTTACTGCCTAATATAAAATGAATTACATCATTAACTAACTTTTTGGGCATTCTTCGTTCCACCACACAATATAGAACAACGAGTCAACACCCTCTACTAAATCAGGCCTTGGGGTTCAAATCCTGTCCTCGAGCCTTGGAGGGATTGGTACCATCGCACCTAGGACAACACAGGCCCAGAGCGACACTGGTCGTCCATTTGCTACTTAGCAGTCACATGGGCTGCCCTTCGCCCAAGGACATTACCCAGAAAACCCGGGGCGCCACCCCCAAGTAGAACCCGGGACGCCACCCCCGGCTACTAAACGCTTGAGCTCTAGGACTTGCCAGACCCAGGGGCCGATCAATAAATGATCATTCTGGGAACTTTAGAACCACTAGATTCGTAATTCGTGTACTCCCATGGCTGAGACTGCCTAGGTATAGATTCTAGCCAGCAGCTTTGCAGATTTCTCTGCGTTGAAATATTATTCATGAATAAACAAACTGATAGATTTGTGAGCTAATACCTGTAATTCAGTTATTTCAGTTATGTTGAACTGAAGTTTTAAACTCTTCAGCAAATTTTAATTAAGTAGCTCCTTAGAAATAATTCACATAAACATCCTCCAAAGAAATATTTGCATCCAAGAAGTTGTTGCAAACTCGTGAATACAAACAAGACACATATGAATTCGGCAGCAATTTAACGACAAATTAAAAATTATAGGATATTCATTTCAAATGCTGTCCTAAACGCAGTATTAGAAATGAACAAAATATTAAATTCTTAGCTCATTTTGTATGATTTTACCATTTTTATTTTACTTTTCGTTTATTTCTAGTGTGCTACACATTCGTTTTAACGTTTCTTCTCACGAAGGAAGTTAGTTATAATAATCTATTAACGATTTCTTTATCTCTAGCTTTTATTAACGGTATCTGTGAGAGGTTTAAACACACACTATAATTAGTATGGTTATTATATATATATATATCGGTCATCGTCGTCGTATACACGTCGGTATATCTGTGTAATGATTTGGAAGTGCTATTAACTTTTTTATGACTGTGTGTAATGATCCATATCTTAGAGATAGGACAAGTAATAACAAACAAACTTAAAGTAGAAACAACTTTTTTTTTTATTTTGTTTCGTCTTAACAAATGTCATGCGGCATTTGGGAAGCAAATATTTAAAGCTTGAAGGGAAAATATTTCAGGCATACATTAAAGCTTGAATATAAAACCAGAAATGATACTTATCATTGCTACCAGGTGGCCGATTATTATCGTTGCAAGCATACTCGTAAACTGAACTTATCATTGCTAGTACCCTAACTGATTCTTTACATTTCAGATCTCAAGTTTAACATGATCTAACATCCAGCTATATTTTGGTTAATATTGTTTAAAATGATTTAAAAATAGTCACCTTTATATATGATTAAATAACTAAATTAAAATTCGATTTTTTTGTTAAACATTTAGCTGTGGAATACGGTGCAACTCGGTTTACGAAATTAATTCTTTACTAAAGCTCGTTCATCATCTGAAATGTTCGTAAGGCAAAGTTAATTTTTCCCATAGGAATTATTAATGTTATTAATGTGAAATGAATACATTCGTTCCTGGAAAAGAGATTATTATTTTTTTTAAATTTACAACGAGACTTGGTGCACATGTTCATTAATACGTACTAATGAAGTTATCAAATATGAAACAAAAGAAGAGTAAACATAATATTCTTCACATAAAATAGACAAAAATTTAATATAATTTTCCTCACTCTCGAAAAGAGTGGAAAGTGATGATAAAGAGAAAAGAAGAGATGTTATTGTCAGTATGAAAAGCTCTCTTCCTAACAATAACATCCTAACATCCTAATAATAGCCATCAGATAACTGTGTTTTGGGGGCATCTTTTTATCTCTCCTTTGTCGCTTAGAGGCACTCGATTCTGCTTGAGGCTAATTGGGCTTTCCTTTTACTCAAATCTCGTCCAATATTATTTTTTATTACTAGCATCTTAAAATGTTTCTAAAGTAAGAGAAGGTATTGCTTTTGAAACTGCTTTGCTGTAGCTTCCTATTGCTTTATTAGGATAATATCATTAAATGAAAGTTTGCATCTGAATTTGGACAAATCCCCATTTTGTAAAATTAGATTCATCTTCTTTTCCCTCGTCTTCCTCTGAAAACATTTCATTTACAACCTCATTTTTTCCTCCCTGTTACTGATTCTGAAGGTTTTCCAGTTCCTTCCCTTAAGGGGGCTCATATACCTTAAACCCCTTATGATCTTCGAATATGTGACTGTTGCAAGAATTAGGATAACTTATTTATTTTAAAAGTAATTACTTCCAACTTTTTATGGCTGACTACATAATATAGCTGCTTTCTGAAATCATAATCAGAACGTTTGTGTTGTCACAAATATTTTTGTAATTAAATCCGCTTTGTGACAAAAATTTTCCTCGTGTTTCCAACTTCCGCGCACAGTTTAAAATTATTTGTTGCATTATTTATTTCCATAGTTATATATAGCTTTTATAACATTTGGAAACTACATTAACTAAAAAAAACTGAGAATTTCATGTTAAATTTTTATTTTATTTGGAGTTGAGTTTATAAAATGTATTTTATTAAAAAAATCTGTAATGTTTTTGTGCATAAATTTTTTTAATATTAAAATATTCATCAGATTGTTGGTTCAGTTAGAAAATAGTGCCCATTAAAGAATTCCATCAAATTTCAAGTATGTACCGTTAGCCATTTTTAAAATATCATGCGCGCAAGGTGGAAAAATGACGAAACATTTTGTCACAAAGCGGATTAAATTACAAAAATATTTTTGGCAACACAAACTTTCTGGTTACTAGTTTCCAAAGCAGCTATATTATGTAGTTAGCTGTAAAACATTGGAGGTAATTACTTTTAAAATAAATAAAATATCTCAATTCTTGCAACAGTCACATAATTCGAAGCTCATGAGGGGTTTAAGGTGTATGAGCCGCCTTAAAGTTCTTTCTTATGATCTTCTAATAATTCCTCCAGGCCGTTGTTGTTGATTTTCAAGCCTACGACTTTGCTTAGAGGTGTCATAGATAACAAAAGAATTCCCAAGGTGAAAGACCTCAAAATCTCTGGCTACATTTTCTCCAATGCTGAATTCAAAGACCTGTAAATCACTTGTTGCCAGGTTTTTATTAATGAAATTTAAGTAATAGAAAATATAGTTGTAATATAGAAGATAATAAAATAGAATTGTTTCAGTGAATCATTATAAAATATGAAATAAATCAAAATTCTCAAGGTAAGCTATTTCAAACATTTTTAATTGAAGCTACAGAATTGCATCTCCAAAACAAATTTTGTCCTTTTTAATGAATAATAAATTGTACATTTTATTACATGTAGAATATTTGTGAATAAATGCTCCCAAAAGCAGATTCAAATTCATTAATCCAGCTGTAATATTCAACGACAGTCTAAGTCAATGGAACCATTTCTGCAATATCTTCATTATTATTTAGAAATGAATTATTAGATGGAAGTTGCGCTAATTTTCATCTAATTAGCAGCAGGAATAGCAGGACGTAAGCGGAACGCTGAAATATCTCGAGTTTCCTTTAAGATTAATGATAAGAATGTAATCTATTCAAACATTCCAAAAGATCTACAAATATGATTTTTAATAAGTAATTAGTGGAAAATGCGTAGAATTCTGTATGCCAAATTCCTAGTCATATAGTTTCTGTTCTAGAGGAATGCAGTTTCGTGATCATCTGAACATTTCTCTCATACAATTTAATAAGATTTTTCAGTAAACATTGGCTGTTAAGGTTCCTATCCGAAACGTATATCATTTCTGATGTGAATTTAGTTTCGACCTTGGCAGTCTTTTATATTATACAAAACTACAACGTCCATGTTTGGATTTAGTTTGGTTACTTTAGTTTGTCATGACAAAGCACTCTAGGGCTATTTTCCTAAGGGAAGGGATGCCTTCGTGGAGGACTTTCTAAGGGGAACTGTCTCTTATACATGTTAAACATGAGGAAAACCAGGAAAATGCCCACGCAGCCAGCCCGTTCACCTGGGGGGGGGGAATTGGATCCAGGTCGGAACTACCAGTGTTCAGTGATTTTACCGCTTGGCAGCTGGTGGACTCTACAACGTCTAGAAAGAGATATATGAGATTAGTAAAATCTTTCATTTAATTATATTAAGTTTATTTGATACTAATTCACCGTCAGTTGAAGCTATTCTCTTATTTCCCATTTCCTAGTACACGTTTGTAGTTAGACAATGTTCCGTTCACAAATATAAAAGACAAGGTTTGGTTTGATTTATTTAATTACGGCAATGCACTCGAGGTCTGTCTGCTTAAGGGGAGGGTTGCCTTCGTGTAAGAAGGTACTAAAAGAAGGTATGAAACTTGCACAATAGTATATACAGGTGCAATCAAAATGAGAGATTAATATGCAGCATTGTAATGAATTATGCGTGGTCGTTCAAAAGTGTTTTCAGTAGTAGGATTATAGTCAGCTAGTTGGCCAATATGGGCATAATTAGAGTTCATAATTTTGATTAAAAATGAAGATTAAATTCATAACACTTGTAATTAAAGAA